ATTATTGATGGATCAAATGGCTTTTCACGGTTCAACATCAAACCAGATGAACCACCACGGTTTAACTGATCGACTAGTTCACAATTTAAAAAAAGAAAAACAGTACTTTAACGTAAACTAACACCATAACCAGAATTATTAATTTTCTTTCTGCCTCCTCTTCTCATTTCCAACCTCGTTGTTGACTTTAAGCGGTTCACTACCGACTGACACCGTAATTTTAACTCTTATTAAAAAAATTATGATTTCTTTTGTGAGAGGGTTGAATGATTTGTTGGATGATAACTTTGAAATTGTTTATGGTCGATGATAACTTCATTTTTAAATTAATGTATTATACAAGTCTTGTATGTTATAAATTATAAACAGTTCTATCAACGGCTAACCAACGGGTTTGTAACGATTAACCACTGAACTCTAAACCACTAACTTTTCCTGTTCAGTTTTTGGTCCGGTGAAGTGCTGGAATTCTGAAACACGGCCTAAAACACGAGAAGGAGAAGATGGATGGGATTTGTAGTAGATAGGTCTCAGGGATAAGATGTCGAGATAGATCTAGTTCCATGGGCTAGGTTGGCGAGCATCACGAAATGCTGAGGTGCCACCAGATGCTGCAGGGGAAGGAGAAGACGGTGCGTAATTCGTTCCAGATATGGATACTGTGGGTGGTGGGTTTGCCGGATGATGTTGTTGCCCTGTTGGTGCAAACCTCGATGGGCTGGCTCCCAAACTTGTTCGAGATGGGAGGGGAGGAACCTATGAAAGTAACAAAACAAGAAGACAGTCTTTCACCTCACGTTTTTCATACATAAGAATTGAACAATGAGACGACTGAAAAACACAGAAAGGGGTTTCCAGGCACCACCAATACTAATTCAGAAGACAAAACATTGATGAATATGCAAAACCAAACTGGATTCAATGCAATGCCATGCAAGAGGGCAAAGAGTAGAAAGTATAATTATATCTCGATCACTGAGCAACAAAAATCCTTCACCTAAATGCTGTTTGCAAACACTGAACTACAAAGAGGGGTAAAACAGTCACAACAAACCTTCAGCTGCACCATCCCCATCCATATTTTCTACCTCGCAGAAAATCACATACTAAAATGTTCCTCACAGGGTTATCTTCCACAAAATGAATCTCAGTCAAGCACAAGGGCATCTTTGGTTGCTAAACTATTATTGAGTATGAAAACATAGGGTTATTAATACCTTTCGTAACCAAAAAAGTTTCATAGTGGAATTGGTGGCTATAGCCCAGTTATGAATTCCTACCACAACCAAAATGATGATTGGTAGCGAAAAGAAAATGTTAGTCTCCATCAGAAAACGGGTATTGCTTTGATAGTAGTGAATTCAAGTTGTTAGCAACCCAGAGAATCGAAAGGGTAAATCGTAGGAATGGTCATGGACACGTTGGGTGGGCATCTCGATACTAATACTCGTTTTGTGGTAGATAGGTCTCAGGTAAAGTAATTAATTATGGGTTGCGGGTCGGGTAGGTCAACCAATATGAGTATGTAATTTTAGAAAAAAAATATTAGAAATATTCATTTTCATTAAAAAAACAAGAAACAAGTTATAACATTTAAATTATTTGACAAATTGAGGTTATCACTCATTTATAAATTTATTGTAACCAGAGTATAAGGTAATAAAAGTAAAAATCTAAATAATTTGAGAAAAGTTACATATAATAATTCAGACAAAAAAGAGTTATCAATGAAATAGGTCAAGTCAAGAAAAGTGCACATGTCCACCCACTTACGAGGTGGATATTACACGCTCTAAAACAGCTCAAATTAATCTGAAAAATGATCAGTTCAAAATCTTATCATATTACACTTCACACGGCCGTGTAACTCACCCTTCCATGGAACTAGATCTATCTCGACATCTTATCCCTGTATGGATGAAGTGCTGGAATTCTGAAAATTTAAGCAGTCATCCAAGCACGCTACCATGTTTCATCCTCCTTGGCTGATTCTCATCCTGTAGCTCTAGAACTTGTGGCAGACAAAAGGATATCCAACCATCTTCAGGTTTTGTCTCCTCTCCTCTCCTCTCCTCTCCTCTCCTCGTCATCATTCTTCATTGTACATCTAATTAACCTGTATTCATTAATTCCATTCGTAAATCGTTGATGTTGTCATTTGCAGTGCTGTATATTTGTAGTCTGCGCAACTCCCATTTGAGTATATTTGTGCACCTTATTTGTAGCTAGTTATGAATTTATGATAGGTAACACTCGTCTCTGGTTGCTCCTCTAAACAGAGCATTCATGAGAGATGTACGCTCTCTTGTTGTTCGTTGATGAACTATCACCGTGGTGGGGTAATATGCTTGTGCAATGAAAGTGTTGCCAGTCCAGTCTTTCTTACTGCCCATAAATTGAATCTTCTTCCACTGGTTTGTAAGTTTTGAACCATTTCTTATTTTTTGCTTGCATGTATATTGGCTCCCAGAGCCCACCACCAAAATCTGCATCGCATGGTTTCATGCAGAACCATCATTACCTCACGGCCACTCAAGGTCTCTAGGCACCTGAGATAGCCAGCTAAACGACTTCCGGCTCAAGGCTCTCTCCCGCATCGCCTTCCCCTCTTCCTCCACCAACACACTCCTTGCAATCATCCTCTTAATCTCCTCCATTTTCATCAATAGGACATCGTTTCCCTCGCTTTTCAGCCACACCGCCGCCCGGAGCTCCTCTGCTAGCAGGATGGCGTTCAACTTTCTGTTCGACATACATCGGCCACGCCCCAACGTCGAGTTCCATCCATAGTGTGACAAAAGCTCACCTACGGACGGGTGGGTCAGGATCTCCGCCTGTGGGGCCTACATGGAGATGAGAAGCCCGCGATCTTGTGTTCTGGAGAAGAATCCATTAGGAGATTCCTGTGGATGCCTTCCAGACGGCCCATTTTCTAAGCGCAAGAAGAAAGTGATCGAAACATCGTCGTTCGTGGGAGTAGGGTGGACAATCCACACGAATCGCTGCCCGCTCAGCTCGAGTCCCCATGCCAGCTCAACCAGTTGGGCGTGTGGGAGGGCCCCACCATCGCAGAACGACACGTAGATGACATAATGGCCCGACCATTGGACGACCAGGAGGTCGATGTGGCTCTTGGACTTGTCGTTGGTGGTGGTCCCTGAACGAGGCAATCGTACCAGTCGGACGAGTGGTCCGACCGAGTAGACAGACACCTTCACCACATTCTTGAGAGACTTGGGGTTCCTGAGAGCCTCTAGTGTTTTGACCTCCATCTCTTCCTCATGTTCAGGAAAATCCCATCCATCTTCGTGTGTCGAGCCCCCAGTTGCTCGAACTCACGAACACATCGAGCCTGTCCTCGAACCGAACCGATCTTCATTTAGGAACCATTGTTAGAAACCAAACAATAAAAGTAGGGTTGTCGGTCTGGTTGAGTGCGAACTGGGTCGTTCTTTCTAAAAATTGAACAAGAAAATCAGAGCTACCTAGCGGCTTCCTGAGGTTGACGAGGTGGTCTACCACCTCCTCCTTACTCGAGGAGCCGTAAACGGTGATGGCTAGGTACCAAGCGGTGCTGGTGATGAATGTATACTTAAGCATGCCAATTGTATTTAATTGATTTGGTTTGCTGATTTTTTTTACTTATTTGGTGATGTGGCATGCTGATTCTATTGAGTTAACGGATTTTTGGATGGAGATGGACGAAACGACCTTTCTATTATTCGTCTAAACCATGGTTGTCATGCTACCTGGTTCAACCTGTGCCGGTCATAAAACCGGCATGACACCACCAGTATGATCGGTATTATCGACTTATGCATTCTAAGCAAAATGACATCATTTTAATGAATTCAATTAATAAAAAAAACTAATTTATTATTCATTTTATGAATTTAATAGTTAAAAGTTGATGATATTTGTTGGATTGTAACTAAATTGTCCACAAATATGTTTTATATATGATTAAATACATTGGATATTAATTATTTTCATATTTTTTTAAACCGGCATGAACCGGCACAAACTGGTTATACCACCGGTCGTACCATTCCACTTGCCAAACCGGCACAACGGTATAAACTGGTTTGACAACCTTGGTCTAAACATATTTTTATTAAACTATACAAAATTAAACTCTAATAATCATTTCATACCAAGTGATATCATGTGTGACCGTTCATATGATAATTTCTCAATCTTTTATCCATTGACGACTGACGAGTACATTATAAAGCATTAACAGAGAGTAGGGATGGCAATGGGTCGGGTTGGGTCGGGTTTTGTCAAACCCAAACCCAAACCCATGGGTTTATCCGCCAAAAAAACCCAGGGTAAAACCCGTTGGGTTTGAAAAACTCAAACCCAACCCAACCCGCTGGGTATCCGCGGATTTATGGGTACCCGTGGGTTTTTTTGGTAAAAAATTTACAATAACAAGTTTTTTTCAAAATAAAAGTTTAACATCAATTTTCTCATACAAATTAATCATACAAAAAAACACCAATCTAGAGCATACAAGCAAACCGCAAATGATCAATACAAATTGTTCATAATTAAAGATAAACATCTATAAACAAAAGATTAATTGAAAGTTTCTTCCTCGTCAACTAAGTTTCTTCACTCTCCACTTCATAATATCAACTTCATTCTAAACAATTAGAAAGAACAAATTATACATGTCTCCACAAACATAAAGAATATTAATTTGTTAAGGAAAATATATTATTTAGAATATTAAATATACCGGGAAAGTAATTATATGTGTGGGCGGGTACCCATGGGTCGGGTTTACCTAAACCCAAACCCAACCCGACCCGGTGAATAATGTAGCGGGTTTAAACTCGAATCCGGCCCAAAACCCGTCAACACGGATTTTACCCGTGTTGACCGGGTTGGGTCGGATGGGTACCCGTGGGTTCGGATTTGATTGCCATCCCTTAGATCTGAGTCAATGGTCAAAGCGAACGAGACAACGGCCTTTCCATTCCGTTCCAATTTCCCATACCCGTGGCATGGTTTGCATGTTAGGAAGAAGACAAAACCACATCTCCACCTTCACTCGCCAGTTCCTCATAACAAAACCTAGCTTAGCAGAACAGAACAGACTCCAGCAGCCTAGTCTGCTGAAATCTAAGCAACATTCCACCCACCACCAACCTTCCTTCACACCGCCACAATGGATCCCACTTCCCAAGCATCCAAATCCCACCACCCCACCAACATCATTAACAGAGATCCTCCTCCAACTAAACCCTGTGGCGGCAGTAGCAGGAGTTCATCTTTCATGTCTAATTACTTGTCTCCCAGACTCCTAAACCCATCTCACCACCACCACCACCCCCGCTCCAGCGACAAAATGACCGCTTCCGCTGATTTCGAAGCTTCTTCCTTGTTCCCTGCTGCTAAGGCCAAGTACTACTCCCAGCAGAGGAGGCAGAGTGATGGCAGGGACGAGAAAGAGACCCTGAAGAGGGTCGTTGGAAAGCACAAATCTTTACCCGAGGGGAAGATCAAGAAGCAGGATTTGGATGTTGGTTTGGTGTTGGTGGAGGAGGAGAAGAAGAAGAAAGTTTTGGTTTTGAGTGAGAAGACCAAGAAGAAGAACAGTAGCAGCAAGAGGGACGATGTTGAAGATTATGAGTTTGGGAAGAAGGAATTGAGAAAGGAAATGGATCTTTTGTTGCTTGAAGGGGTTGATGATGTTAAGAGAAGGAGATCCATGAGTGATTCGCGAGTGGAGTTGGGTGATTCCTTAGCAAGCAAAAATGCTAATATTGTCTCGGTTGATATGCCCCCATTTATGCAGATCCATGCCATTGATTGTGCCAGGAAGACTTGTGATAGTCTCGAGAAGTTCGTTGCCAAGACCCTCGCTCTCACTCTCAAGAAGGTAACAGCTGCTACTCATCTATCACATCTCCACATTGCAGAAGTGGAATGTCTGGATTGTTAATTGATTGATTGAGGGATTGTTTCAGTTAATTCAATGGGTTGTGTCTACATTTGCTGATTGATTTCTTTGCAAATCATCTCTATGCAGGAGTTTGATAGTGTTTATGGTCCGGCATGGCATTGCATTGTAGGGACAAGTTTTGGGTCCTTCGTGACCCATTCAGTTGGTGGGTTTCTCTATTTCTCAATGGACTCCAAATTCTATGTCCTCTTGTTTAAGACTACAGTCCAGAGAGCAGCAGTTTCAGTTGAATAATTGGGATTACAGGACGAACCCATTGAAATAGAACCACAAACTCTTTCATTCCTCTCTGTCATAGATTAGATCAGTTTTGTGGAGCTGAAAGAGCTGGGGCAGAAGCTAAAAAGAACTGCTGTCTCTTCTACATATCTGTATTTTGAGGATTAATTTTTTTTTTCTCTTTGGCTGTAGAAACTAGGAAAGCACCAAAGCAAATGTGTGAATATGATATGGAAAGTTTTCACCTTTTCCACCCTTTGTTTCAAGGACCCCATTCCTTCTTTTACCACAAAGTTCTCCTAACTTACTGAGTAGTTTCACTGGTCAAAATTGCTGCTGCTTTCTCTCCCCGGCCACTTAGTTTCTGAATTCCATAGCATTACAACCTGTTCTAGTTTTAATGTTTGTGATGAATAGATAGATAGATTACTATAATCATAAGAACAGAAGCTGTGACTCAAACTAGTGTAGATGGATCTACAGATGAACTTAGAACACCATATCTTACAAAAACTCCACTTTGTGTTATAACCTTCTCATTTGCACCTTCCCCTTTCCAGTCTCCATACATATCCCATTTTGTCTGTGGTGTGTGGGGTTATCTTGGGATTCCAGGACCACTCCACCCTTAAGAGGGAAATGAGACAAAAAGGGGAAGAAAGTCTTTGTTACCCAGAGAGTGCAATTCTGTGTGGGTAGTTTCAGGAATCTGGTCCTAGAAACCTACAAACAGAGAATTGGCCTGGACTGGAAGTTGTGCACTATGTGGACTGTAGTTGGGACCAAACCTATGAACAGAAGTCTCAATCAATGATGTTGATGATGCAGTGTCATTAAGCTCTTTGAGTCGTTAGAATGCTGTGAGTGGGATGGTAGGCAGTGTTAGAAATTTGCTAAGAGATTCTGGTTTAAGACTCTCCATTGTTCTTTTTGCTTTTCTTAATTAGGGTAGCTTTTGTACTTTGAATTGGAAGACACTCAATGGATTTTTTTTTACAATGATTACCAACTTTTATTCCATCAAACAACTGAAAGACGAGAAACTCGGTTACAATTTTAAAGAAGATCAGAAATGAGATCAAGAATATTAATCCAATCATCAGAAAGCGATGCTCGAGCTTTTGATCTTGCAACCCAATCTGCTCTGACATTAAGTGTTCTGGGCACTTCTTTGATTTTGATGAGAGGGTATGTCCGAAGGATAGAAATAATCGATCCGATCCATGCTGCACACCTCCACGGCCAACGAGAGCGATCATAATCCAAAGTTCTCACCAGCACCTGACAGTCGGATTGAACCGTACATTCAGATCCATATTCTTGAGCTAATTTCACTACTTCGAGAAGGGCCTTAGTTTCTGCTTCAATCGGGGTGGAACAAAGAAGATTCTCAGCTCTCCCATCACACACTTGTCCATGGTGGTTAACAACCACAACACCATATGCCGCCGACTGGGAGTCGCTAATGAACGACCCATCACAGTGAATCACCAAAGGCTGATTACTTGACGGTGGATTCGTATGAGACTGGGTTCCCCTGAGCTGAGTGGGAAGGGAGGGCAGGGGAGGTGGGGACCTCGGGCACGAATTCCATTCAGTAAGCTCTTTAAAAGTAAGTTGGCACACCTTCGGAGGCCACGGAATTCTACCCTTGAAGGAGCATTCGTTCCTCGCCTTCCAAATGTTCTAACAGAGGAAAACAATATGGATCAAGGAGCTATGCTGAATAACATCTTTAAGGGAGCAGAACCAGTCAAAGAACAAGGTTCCCTGAGGTGGTAAAGGGAGAGACGGAAAAAGAGCATTCCTTGCCACCTTGGCATGGGGGCATTGGAACAGGCAGTGATTGACGGATTCGACAGGGTTCTGGCACACCTGACGAAGAATTGGGGGCACACTTCCTCTAGAGAAATCTCTCTTTCGTTGCTAATCCATTCCTGGAGCATCTCCAAACAAAGAATTTCAATTTCGGGGGGATGTGAAGGCTCCATATCCATTTCCATTTTTCCGTATTCCCGCTTGGTTGCGTATTGGTGTTGGCTCTGTGAATCGTATGGTATGCAGATTTCACCGTAAACTTTCCCTCTTCATTGTAGTTCCATGCCCAAAAGTCTTCAGTTCCATCCTCCCCGACTTCTTCTTAGTAATTTCTTTTGGTCAGGGTCGATGCAGAAAAATAGCCTCCATTGGTGTAGGAAGGAAATCCTATGCTTGCCTAAGTATGAGGGAGGTTTGGGCTTCAGGAGCTTCAATGATTTCAACCTTGCCCTTCTCGCTAAGCAGGCTTGGCGCCTCCTCACTACCCCTGAGTCATTGTGGAGCCGTCTACTGAAAGGTTTGTATTTCCCTAGAGGTGATTTTCTTAATGCTAAAAAGGGGAGCAAAGCTTCATGAATCTGGGCTAGTCTTTGGGAGGCAAAAAAGGTGCTAGGTTTGGGAGCAGTTCGAGTGATCGGATCAGGTGAAGAAACGTGGATCGATCGGGACCCCTGGATCCCCACTTTGGACAATTATGCTCTCAGGACTGGCCCCCAGAATCATCAAAAGGTCAACGAGTGGATTGATCCTAGAGAAAGGAAGTGGATTCCGGATGTTATCTAGGGACATGTGTCTAGCTCAGAACTTGAAGCTATCCTCAGGATTCCAGTCGGGGAGTTACACGGCCGTGTGACCCTGGCCGTGTAGGTTGACTGAAGTCCAATTAATCGATACGCGGCGTTTTGAAGTCACACGGGCAACTGGGTATGCCACACGGCCGTGTGGCCCTGCCCGTGTGAGTCGGGAATTCCTGGTTTTAACCCAATTTCGGGCTGAAAGTGAGAGAATGGAGTTTTGAGAGCAAAAACAGAGCCCTAGAGAGAGAAAGTACGAAGAACACATCCTAGAAGCTATCTTGGAGCTGGGTTTCATCAAATCAAGCTTGGAGATCGTCATAGGAGTGGAAATCATCATCCCATAGCAGATTTTCCTCATCTTTATGAGTATGACTACTCTGTATTCTGTTTCCCTCTCTCTCTCTATGGAGTAGAACCCTTCTCTCACTTGGGTATGAAGAACCCTAGTTCTATGTGTTAGGGATTTGATTGTAATGACTTGGGATGATATTACTGCTTGGTTTTAATCGAATGATGCATGTTTATTGAGTCAATTGAAGTCTGATCAGCTTTTCCTGATTTCTGCTGCAACCTGAGATAGATAGAATCTGATTAGGTTGTTAGAGCCTCATCATTCGGTAGTAGGAGATTGGCTATACGAGAGTTAGCCAGTTTACTGCTTTGTACTGGAATTCCAGTAGTGAAGTTCTGTTCTTACTGCTTCAGCTTTCTATCCCGGTGAAGACTAGTCGTCTGCCGGGTAGTTAGTCTGAGAGGGCTTGGTCAGCTTAAGAGATTCCAAGCTACTGTCGGATCTTCCGTAGTCTAATCAACAGTAAATCAACCCAGGGAAATTACAATTGAAACCTAACTAAGGATCTAGGGGGACTCATTCCCTAGTGACTCTTCTTTGCTTGAGAAAACCGTACCAATTCCTGCTTTCTTTCTGCTTTTGCTTTAAACAACAATCACTTGACTTAGTTGGCTAGATAATAGATAATCACTGAGTAAGCATTAGATCTAGACCCCGGGTTGATAATATAAATTGCCACTTTACTGCATTCCCTGTCTGCGATTACACTTGGTTGCAGATTGGTGTTGTGTTTTGGAGTGTCAAGTTTTTGGCACCGTTGCCGGGGACCCTCTAGGTTATTGGGGAAACGTGCAAATCTGTTACTCTAGCTTTTTCTTTACTCCATTTTATCTCTTCCACCTGTGTGCCTTCACGGGTTGCTTCTGATGATTGTGTGCAGGTAGTGCATGACCCGTAGCCAGTCGGGAGATCTACCACCACTAGACCAGGAGCTTGAACGAACCTGCAGAAACTTCAAGCGGGCTCTAAAGGCGGGACTGGCTGCGGAGGTGGAGCTAGCACAGCTACAGATCATTGAAGAAGAGGAGATGGCTGATCCACAGGACCATGATGTGGTCAATCCCGAGGAGTAGACCATGGAACATTACTGGACCGCCAGGGCTGCAGACATGAGGTCACCCATTCAACACCCTCATGTCCCAGCCAATAATTTTGAGGTGAGCACCTCAGTAATCACCATGCTGCGCGGTTCAGTGATGTTCCGTGGCAAAGAGGGGGAGTGCCCCCGATCACATCTCAGGCGATTCCATGAGCTCATTGATGGAATCAAGATCAATGGGGTCCCAGCAGATGCCATCCAGCTGAGGTACTTCCCATTCACCCTGGAGGGGCAGGCCAAGGAGTGGCTAGACACTCGACCTCCGGGCTCCATCACCACGTTCGCCAACCTGGCGGACAAGTTCCTTACCCGCTACCATCCTCCGTCGAAGACGGCGGACTTGGAGAAGCAGATCACCCACTTCACCTAGGATGAAGATGAGACCATCCGGGATGCTTGGGAGAGATACAACAGTCTCTTCCTGAGGTGTCCCAATCATGGTTTCAACGATGCTTTCAAGGTGGGAACCTTCTATCATGCCCTCTTCCCAGAAGACAAGCAGCTGATTGACTCAGTTTGTGGCGGGAACATGCTGACTAAAACACCGCCACAGATGAATCAACTCTTTGAGGAGATGGCAGAGAACGGGTATGATTGGGGCACTGCTAGGAGGTCGAGGAGAGCACCAAGCCGAGGTGTACATTCTGTGGGAAACCATTCCTCTGATTTGGTGCAGGTGGTGTCGAAGCTGGTTTCAGCTATCGATCGTTCCGGGATGATTCCAGGGACCGCACAGTAGCAGGCGATGCTCTGCCAGTGGTGCGAGAGCACCCATCATACAGTGGAAGACTGCCAGGCGATGAAGGAATCGACCACACCCCAGGAGCAGGTGAACTTCATCAATAATGTCAGGCGCAATGACCCCTACAGTAACACCTACAATGAGGGGTGGTGCCAGCATCCTAACTTCTCCTGGGGTGGGGCAAATTCCAGACCACCAGTCCCTCAGGGACCACCGGGCTTCCAGAGGACGCCATATCAGCCCAGACAGGGGCAATTCCAGCAGCAGCAGTCCCTCTACCAGCCCATGCAGGGGCATGCTGCTCAATCACAGCTGCGACCTTTCCAGCAGCCAGGTGCAGCCCCTGCTACCCCAGTGCAGAATGATACGATGGCTGAATTGCTGGACTTGGTGGGTTCTCTCGCCAGCTCTAGTGCTTAGAAATTCAACACTATAGAGCAGTTCATGAAAAAGGCATCGGGTAAATTCCTGGCTCTTGAAGCTGGCTAGAGGAACACACAGGCTGTCTTGCAGGATATCCAAACCCAGCTGGGGAGCGTGGCTCAAGCAGTGGCGAAAAGGGCTCCTGGTACTCTTCCCGGTCAGACCATCCCTCACCCTCAGAACCCGAATGAGCACTGCAAT